GTTTTGTTTTTTTCCATCTACACACCCTCCTCAAAGCTTCTGAATGGATTTGATAATGGTTAAAATAAAGACTTAATGAAATGCCTGCAGTGGCTTAATAATATGGCTCAAAACTGGCGCTTGGTCAAACACAAAACTGGATCTATACAAGAACCAGTCCTAACTGATTTTTTTAAAAGAAGAAGCTGAGACACTGGCTCTGGGGCCGTCCCAGGTTATTAATGAAAACCTCTTTTATGGAAAAGTCCTCTATTACAAACATTGTTGGTCGCTCACGCTGAGCCTGGTTCAGTTGAAGGTTTCTTCCCGTTAAAATTGAGTTTTTCCTCTCCACTGTTGCTACAAGAATACCTAGTGTTAGGGATTGCCTTTGAGTCAATGCAATCAACATGTTTTATTAGATAGATAACTTTTAATCAATTTGACTGTATAATCTGGTGAACTGTAAAGGGCCTTGAGATGATATGTTTTGTGAATTGGCACTATATAAATAAACTGAATTGAATTGTATAAACCTAAGTTTCACAGAGAACCTTTTTTACATACCGGTATGTGGGTTTGTTCTGGTATGTTTTAAAGCCTCAACCTTACACGTTGTTTTGAAACCAAAAAAAGGCAGTGTTCACTCTTCATTTATCAAGTAAACATTAGGAAAGAAAATAAAAATTTTACAGACGTATTGCTCAGGGATCTGATAATGAATTTAAAAAGATCTTGCTTTCTCATTTAATTTCACACACGTCTTGAAAAAAAGGCCATATATCTTTAGTTTTCAAATGGCAATTCATTAAAAGGGCAAGGCAATTCAAATGATTGATGTTGTTGCTTTTCAACATTTTGACACCAGTCTAAAAGCCCATTTAAAGCTAGGAACCTTTTATTCATTGCTAAGTACCCAGATATCAGTTAAGGACCAAAGATCTAAATACAAAACCTTGAAAGCATTTTCTTTTCTGTTTTTAGTACCTCAGAGGTTTTATGGCTCAAGCTTATTATCTGCTCAGTGTGATGGTTGTTACTCTATCAGTCTAACATGTTTTGCTCTCTTCTAGGCTATTCACACCACTATTTAAAAATAAACAGGGGAGGATACTGTGTCCTGTTGCCTTTGGTGGATAAATACTATAGAAACTTAGCTGATCATCACTCAAATTACAACTATGTGTCTTAAACGTCTACTGATTTTCTCTCCATGGGTCATGTGCATGCACACAAACCTCTTTTGATAACCATCAGCTCAAAAGCATACTCTATTGTTTCAGCTCAGTGCTAATTACTTCAGGTCCTGACCTCAGGTTCAACTGAAGGGCAAAAATGGGAGGTGGAGGGGTTTATGCGAATATGTGTGTGCTGATGAACGATGCGGTGGGGGTGGGAGAGTGGGGAAGTCATTGCTGTTGCCAATCACTCTGGGTGGCTCCTAACGCCACAGGGCAGGAACCTTATTTTATTCTATCTACCATATCTATTCTATAATATTGTTTTAATTTTCAAAGAATTATGTTAAAGTAACCATCAGTGGGGGTTTATTTGCCTGGAATTGTTCCTCTCCCCATGCTTTTAAAGGGATAGTTTGGAATTGTTAAGTAAAGGTTGTAAGCAGGTAATATATCTTTATTTCACACAAATACAAATGAGATTTTCTAAAGGCTAAAACTAACAGGGTTCTAGACCAAATCTAGAATCATGTAACATCTCAAAACAATTGGTATACGAGTTCATTTCATTCCATTTTACTTCTCTCTGCTAAATAAAAATATTTCAACTGCAGGATGTTTTCATATTTTTCAGGATGAGAAAGTGTGTCTTCGGGGTGATGTGCAATGTTTACTTCCTCCAATGGGTCACAAAGTTAGATTTTAGACACTTATTCCACATTTTTGCAATCCCCTCAACATTACACACAACAAACATAAAAATGCATTTGTTATGGCTCTCTTTTGGACTTTTTTTCTAGATTTATATGAAAACTTTAGGTTTATATGAAACTGTTCCTCTGACTTGAAATTATTATATGTCCTGTCCTCAGTTTTTATCTCACATGGAAAGATCACATTTCACACAAAAATATCTTCAAAGTAGAAGTCTGCTCTCACCCTACACCAGTAAGATTAACCATTAGCTTTAAGCTGGAAGACCAACTAATAAGGACCTAAAATATAAGAAGAAACCAAGAGAGGGATTTGGTTTAGGTAATTTATTAACTGCCTCTAACCTTTTGAATAAACTTCCCTTAACTGAGCTAAATGTCCCCTTTAAAGATTTCACAGAAGGAGTGTAAAAAAATAGTAAATGCATTACTTCATACTTCAAGTCTGTCCCAGGTGGAAATTCAAGTATTGAGAGCATTTTAAAACCGGGTGAGTTCTCAAGCTCAATTTCATTTGGTTTGTCACATTCTTTTAGATTCTCACAACTTTGTGAAACACTTGGAAAAAATCAAGTACCCCTTGAGCCTCCCCACCCTTACAAAACAAACCTAAGCTCTTTTTCCATCCAACTCCACTTATAGCATTGAAAAGCCAAAGCAACACTCTTCAACGCAAGTTTCATGCTGTAAAAAAAAGAGAGAGAGGCATTCTCTCAGGTTGCCACAACCAAGCAAAAACCTTTCCCGAATGTGCATTCATTGCAATGCAAAGCAGACATCCAAAGCTTCAGCATCACTTAAGGCCCTACTTTCAATTACAATGTCAGGAGCACTTAGAGCTGATGGGCCTATTGGAGAGGGGGAGTGGAGCCTGTGGTGAGGTTCCAGGCTGTCCTAAAGGGCAATTAGGGACTAAGAATTAAATAAAATCATGCCAATTTTGGCAAAGCATGCATACAAACACAATAAAGAAATATTATTAATAACAGCTCTGGATAATATCACAACTTTCCATTTACAGAAGGATAAATGGCTCTGTATACTCCCGCAGCAGTGAGTCGCAGTTAGCCTGTCGCAGGTATGATGCAAATATTTTGGATTTATGCCCAATTTTTAAGTGTAGACTGCTCTATGTTATTCCATGCCACAATGCAAGAGGGACAATCACAAACTAGTTAGGATTGTGGGTGTCCGTGTATCGGTTTGACAAGCTTATTCGTGGTCTGCAGCTCCTCATCCAACGCCTGAAAACACACAGTTCACCCGTGAGTTTTCCCGAAAGACTGGCCGTGGCGCTGCTTGGTTTGGCTTTGGGTGCAAACCAACAGACCATCGCATACGTCCTACAAACTAGCGTCCTGTACAGTGTCTGGGATAGTTACCAAGGTGTGCCAGGCATTGTGGACAGCACTACAGCCAGAGTTCTGCCATTAAGTACCAAACAGGAAATACCCATAGTATAGAGCGGATGTAGAATTGATCAGAGGCCTAAAGGCCTCCTTTCTCTCCTCCCTGCGACA